GCATACTAATGGAGACAGTTTAGAGCCTTTCCTCCTTCCCTCCTTCCTCCCCCCCCCCCCCCCATTTTGGTGGCATTGAAATAAAAAGAAAACTTATTATTTTTAATCTGTAAAAATATCTTCCTGATTTGTAGGATTTTACAATTTTATTTGTGAGGGGTGATTTTTTTTTTTTTTTTGCCAAAATCAGAAATGAAATCTCCACTTTTCTGTTTTCCTGTCGCAAGATGTTGATTTAGCTGATGAGGAGGCATTTAGTTAATTAGAATAGCTTTTCAGAAAGAATAGAAGAAGACCTGAATAATAGAGCAGTCATCTTCAAAGAGTGAATGATGTGTATGTTTGCTCTGCTGTCTAATTTTGCCATGATTGTTTCTCCCTATTTACAGGTTATAGCATATGTTGTTATTTTATTACCATCACATTAAATACTATTGCATTTACAGTTAGAAACTGCTCTTTTGGTTTAGTATTTGAGAAACTTGAGAATTATTTCAAAAAGACATGTTTATGAGCACAAAGGTGTATAAATTTTTTTTTTTGAAGTTAAGAGATGTTATTAGGAATTTGGGCTCACAGCAAATACACAAAATGGTGTAACTATTTTAAACACCAAAGCGTGCTCCAAATTCTTATGGAAACCAACCTGAAAACTTCCCATTATCTCTGACAAGTCTGTTAGGAGGCAGCTGCTGGTGCAATTGGCTGTCTAAGTCTTACAGGTCAGATTCTGATCTCCATTATATGAGGGCCTTTTTGATATAGCTTGAAAAAAAAAAGTATGTAGAATTTCATTTCAAGAGGACTATATTTTTAAATAATGAAATCATAAAATAAAATCTTAATAAAGTTAGATAAAATGTTTCTGGCACAACTCGTGGCATTTCATTTTTATCTGAGTCACGTTTCTAAGAATAACAATTATGTATGAAAAAGTCAAATAAAGGTATGATTTACCAGTGTGTAAATACAGCTATAAATATGATACATACCCAGCAGTCTTCCCCTTGCCTTTAAAAGCACTCATACTGTTTGAAATACTGTTGTCACAGATCTGTGCGCTTTGTTATTATCTTCTGTCATGTAGATTCCTCTATTAAAACATATATTTTATCTATAATTTTGTCTGTGCCATGGACAAAAGTATTCAGGTTCTGGAAAAGATTTATTAGCATATATTCTAAGTTGAATAGCTGTTTTTTATAAATTCTAAGTAACACTTCTTAGAATTTGCTAAAACTTTTAAATATTTGTAGTAGAACACTGCTTGGAACTGGAAACAGTGTTACAAGCCTAGTGTAACAAAGCTGTTAATCAGAATGTTTTCTTTCCTCTTTCCCTGATTCCAGCTGGTTTTAGTAGAGGTTTTTAGCGTATATCTCAGCATGACAGAAAATATATGAAATGCTTTGAGACAATTTCAGGATTGTTGTTCTTTTAAGTTTGAATTCAAGTACTTATGGAGGCTTTTTATAGCACTGAGGAAGTCTTTCCAACTGTTCACATTAGGGCGTGGATGTCATAAATACATCATCCCCACAGTAATTAATGTTAAAGATGGCAAGCAAACGGTAAACTGTGATTTATGTTAGTCTTGCCACCGTTTTATGTTGTTAAGATGAATATTTAAAATTATTTGTTTTTGAAGAGCCATACTCACAGTGCCTTCTGACACACGTATTATTCAAGATCCTGAGTTAACAGAATAGTGGTCCCTGAGGTTCTCACACTTTTTCAGAAAGTTGCTCCTCTCTTTGTATAATTTTACCTTCAAGTGAATAAGAAGACTTTGGGGGAGAAGGAAAATCATTATTAAAAATACACTCAGACTTGATCAAAATAACTTTGATGGCTAGAATGGTGAGAACAGTCATTCTCTTCCTTTGACAGGTATTTTTTGGTCTGAGATTTGAGGGCACTAATATTGATTTAGAAAGCTCTGTGGTTCAATTTTAAATGAAATGTAAAACTTTTCCATTTTCTCACCTTTCAACCTCCACAAAAGAGCAGCAGCTTTTGCAGGGAAAAGCTGTATTCTCACTTTGGGTATCACAATGCATTTATGATGTAGGGCTTATCTAAACAGTTCCCCTTTATGTGACTGGGAAAGAAAGCCTGTATTCATTTAGGGTTGGAGTTCTGACTGTAGCAGCTGGATACAAATCTGGATCCCAGGCTGCAATTTGGGACCTGGGCCCCCTTGAAGTCATCTTTTCCAGAAGGTACCCCTTGCTTTTCTCCTCTCTCCTGGAAGTGACAATGGTAGAAAGGTAGAAATGGTATTCCCTGCTCTCTCTCTTCTGCAAGCAGCTGTGCCCCGGCACCCACTCCTCTCCAGAGAAACAGCCTCAAGCTGAACATGCCTGGGCAGTTGTTTGGACCTTATTACTCCAAAGAAGGTTTCCCAGAAACACACGGGAAGCACATACTTTCTACCCATGGTGATCAAAATTACCCTTATACACTAAAAAATGGTTTGGGTTTGATAACAGAACTACCATATAAGGGAAAGGCAGAGGAAGAGAAGCTGAGGGCCAGACTTGTCTCACAAATGCACTAAGTTCCTGTCTTTTAGTGAGAACAGGAACAACTCCAGGCTTTTAAGGACGTTTAACAGATGAGAATTAGAATATACCCAATTGCATTGCTTTCTGATAAAAAGTACATGAAGGCTGCAAAGGAGAGGGGAGCCTTGGCTGCTGAAGGTCAGTTCCTGTTTCAAAGGCTGACCTCCTTTGAAAAGGGGTCTCGCTGCCTAGTGTTCCCATAGGAAGGGAGCAAGGGGTTGGATCCATGCTGGCCTTCAGTCAGAGAAGTGCTGAGCTTCCATTCAAATCAGTGTTACCTGAAAAAAAAGGCATTTCAGCATACCCTTAGGTGTCTTTGACTAAACACCATATGCTTTGTAAAGCACGGCGGTCATTTGGCTGATTTTATGTGCTTGAATATCTCAAAGGCTGTAAACTTGGCAAAATACAGACTCCTTTTAGACATAAATTTTTATCTTCATTTGGTGTGGTTTCACTTGGCCTGTTATCCACTGCACACTGCCTTAACAGGACTATCAGTAAAAAGTGGCCTAATTGGGTTTGGAAAAGAAAATCATGTATTTCTAAAACTATTTACTAGAAAGGGACAAGCATAGAACAGCAAGAATCAGACTGAAGGAGTGCAAACTTTGTTTCTGAGTTTTATTTCTAAGGTGTGTCATATACTAACTTTATTACCGAGCCTCTCAAAGAGATGATATTTACAAGGGCAAAGCCTTCTGAGATTCTTAGGTGAAAGGTTTATGTAGCATGGAAATATTACAATAATGACATTTTAATGTAATGATTTCTCTAACAATGAAAAAAGCGAATGTCCATAGCTTGGGGAGGGGAGGGAGCTAACCTCTGTTATAGATGTTTGTACTTTGGAGAAAGTGCATTTCTTAAAAAGAATAAGGAACTCAGGGAAATGGGTGGCAGGATGCTGGAGGGCACAGGGATGCTGAACAGATAGTTCTGATCAGCTATTTCTGATGGAATTCAGTGGGGTGGAAGCCAGAAACAACAGGGAACACTCCAGGAGAATGTATTAGATATTGTATCTGCCAACATGTCACTGGCCAGCTAAGAAGAGCGTGACTAGTCCACCTCTCCCCTAAGGCCAAGCTTTCAATTTCCATCCCCTTGGTCATCCTGACCTCCATGATGTTTTTACATCACTTGCTAGAATTTTCTCTGGCTGGAGGTCCAAATAGACTTTCTGCTGAAATGCACACCCCCCCATTTCTGTGCACATTATCTTGTTTATGGAGCCCTGAATCCATCTCAGCTTTCCAAGTGTCTGTGTCCCGTGGGGAGCTGGGCTGTCCCCGTCTAGAGCAGAGCTCAAGTGAAATCAAATGCAGGTCTGTGATTTTTATTTTTTTTTAAGTTTTGCAATGCTGTGAGAATAACAATGACTTCTTCAGCAGTTTTAAGAGAAAGCAGCTCTGTTTCAGCATCTGGGGTGGACAAGTCCAAGTGTTTTATCTCTGTGTAATGGTTTTTGTCCCTGTATAACATTTTGATATACTGGACTTCTTTCTTGCTTAGTGAGATCAGAGGCACTATTACCTCTTTTTTTCAGTATTATTACTAAGAATTGTGAGCTGCTTTTTGAACTTCAGCCCCCTTTGGTTTTGGTTTGTGCAATGCACAAATGTTTTAGCTTCTTTCAAGTGAAGAATAATTAAAACAGGAAAATACCATGCTAGCTGTAGGTCATCTGTCATTGCTCATGGATCCTAATTCTTGTCTCTTGCGAAGGGTTAGATGAACCTTTTACTCTGACCTTACAGAGAATGATACAGTGTGAGATAAAAAGGGTGTTTCCCAAACAGGACTCAGGGATGTAAATCCCACCTTTGAAAATATTTGATGTGAAGATTCAAATATGCCCATAGCACTTGCAACAGTTGCAAAACCTGGGTTTAAAAGAGACAAAATTGCCCCCCTGAAGGCTTTAACATATAGGCACCACTTTAAGAAATTAAAGGGTTAGGGAACTTAGTGTGATTTCAAGTTATTCATAATTTGGAGGAAACTATTGCATTACAAAAGCCTATGCTGATTACAGAACTTTTTAATCTCAGTCTAAGGTAAACATATCTTCAACATCGCATACACCTGAGTTGCCCTTTTAAATACCCTAAACCTTGATCCATATTCAGGGCTTCTTTTCTCGAGTCTCCCTGCTGTGATGAAAGTGTCATCTCATCTCGTATTAATTTTGTCTCAGTACACAGAATCTTATTATGCTATAGCTTTTGGGGAAGGTTTTCTCATATATTTCAGAGAATTTTAAAGCTGTTAAAGTAATAGCTCAAATTTCCACCTCACTACCAAAATACAGGTTTCATTTGTGAAAGTGGTGTTACACAAACTTTGCCCTGAGCAATTGTCTTTAACAGCCATCGAAAGTCAAATATAGAACCACATTTCTAGTAGTTCCTTAAGAGGAGAGAAGAGAACCTTGTCCCCACCCTTCATGGGAAGGAAAGCACGTTCTGTGAAAACTCTGGGTGCTCGTTTCCCTCAGCATTACTGATCTCCAGCCAGCCAGTCATGTCTGCTGCCCTCAGTATGAGTAAGGAGCAAAGGTAAGTACAGGGACAGGCAAGGACCTGCCTTCAGGGATTATTCTGCTCCTTAGTAGTGGGGACAACTAGGTGTCAGAGTCTAACCTGGGTTCAGGGACAATAGGAGAGGGTTCAGGGCCTTGCATTGGTGGTGGCAGCCCTGGGGAGAGCCAGAGTGCCCATCCCTGCTTGAAAGGCAGGACTCCAGTTCCCAGCAGGGGCGTGTGAGAGCAGCAACTGCACAACAGGGCGTAATTGTGTAGTCACTAATAATTGATTTTAATGCTCGTGTTTTAACTGCCATTGAATTTGCAGTGTATTTTTGTGTCAGGACCTGGTTGGGTAAAAAGATATTTTCAATGGATCTGGATTTGGACTGCATTACAATTAAATTATTGTACTTATATAGCCATAGCATTGCAGCATAGCTGACCGGGTTTAAGTTAGACTGTTAACTTAATAAACTGCTTTCTGAGGAGATAAGAAGATTTCATTTCCCTGCTATATAAAATTAAATTTGTTGTACTACATAAAACACTATATATTCTTTACAGCTTATTTACACAAAGCTTCTGTTGAGTTCAGTGGAAGTTTTGTTGACAAATTCAGAGCAAGACTGTATTCAAATAATATTCATATCACACCCTATTTGTCAATTTTGCAGCTTACACCTTCCCTTCATCCATTTTATATTTAATAATGAAATTATGGAAAGAACTATGGGGACTTTAGCAATCATGTATGTACAGATGTTGTGTCTATGTATAGGCATCTATATTCACTCACAATTAAACTCTCCACCAGAAAAAACTTGATTGATGTAGACAATTTGTACCGAGGGGAAAGGAAAATAAAACCAACTGATCTAAGGTAAAAAACAATAATGTCCCTCTGTCCCCCAAACCTATAATTGCTATTTGGTATCTAAAGAATTTAATCATACGTGGTTTTTTGCCTCCACAGTCATGGAAAAATCTCTCAAATCTGAATGTCAAAAATATAGATGAAATTTCAAAGCCTGAAAGTGATTTAAAAACATGGTCTACAATAACATCAGTGGGGACTGGCATTCTTGAGTCACTTTCATGGTTCTCACAAGAATATCCTGAATGTATAATTTCACATCAAAGTCAATATGCTTCCTGCAATGCTGAGGGGAGCAACTGAGTTTTGGAGAGCAACACACAAAGGTATTCTTGTAGTACTGTGGCAACTGACAGGACCGAGTACTAATTTAGATGCCTAATTTTAAATCAGGGTTAATGAAAAAAAAGCCATCCTTATTTATCCCAGATTGTACTATAATGCTGTGTATTATAAAGCTGAACCCAGGACAAGCTGCTTGTAGTTAGTTTATCTTTTGTAAGTTGCTCTGAAATTTTGACATCTGGGCTAAGCCAGTTGTCATTGCACAGAAGCAAGGTCATAGCACCATCGACCCACCTGTTTTAGATATAATCAGGACACAACTCCCCAGTTTCATCTGAAACTTGTATTCTGGAATCACCATGCATTTGTACAGAAGAAACGGCAAAAAAAGAGAAAATGGTAACAAAGTTAGATTTGAAAACCTACTAAATACTCCCCAATCTCAATAGTGCCCAACATTTTTGCTGAGTGGGAGAAGACAAATGTGACCATCAGTCTTGGGAAATGACACTTGCTTACTAAAGATGCACTTATGTAGTCCACTCCAGGGTAACTGATTGTGTTGGATGGATGCAGATGTGAGGGTGTAAATAATTGTAAATAAAAATACATTTAAGAAAATGCAAACTGGAAGTTTCTAAACCAGGTCAGTAAAAGCAAGGTTATCTTTGGGCTGTGATTTAACCAGCTGTGTTGTGTTTTAATCCATCACTCTAAGTTGCTTCACCTTTATAGAGTTGTACTGCCACTGTACAAGACTACATTTTCTCTAGCAGTTGTTTTGCCTGCACCAAATGAGAAAGGGAACATCTCTGTGACGATCCTTTTGCACACAGGCATCGAAGTGTTGTCTTACTCGAGTGCTGCAAGCCACCCTGAAGCAGTAAGTGGTGAGCAAGTGGTCAGAGGACCAGGATTTGTTTCAGTCATTCTGTTATTTTTGGAGGCTTCTTGAGACTGTACCATCTAGAAGATAGGCAATCTTGTCTGGGTAACGTGGTCACATCTGCATGTAACTGGCCTTATTCTAAGGGCACGAATTCTGCTGAGTCATGCAAGCAGGGGAAGCAGCATAAGGCTGGGAACTGAGCAAACTCTTTCCTACAAGCAATAATTATACCATGGTTCAGTAAAGGAGCACTTGCAAACCCAGGCACAGCCAAGCACAAAATAACCTTGCTATCAAACAGCCGTACCCATTGAGATCTACTAACTTTTCGTCTCAGCAGAGACTATATAGATGTGTTTGATGTTTCTTTCAGGAAAAAAATTAAGTGTGGGCTAAGGAGAAGTCGCTTTTCAAATCTCAGGCTACACTTTTTATAGGTGATACTTTTTTTCCTAAGTTTCACACGATGTTTCACAGCCTCCCTACTTCAGGGGGTGTTGAGCTGCCCACCTGAACATAAATGAATAAATGGAATCCTCCTCTTCATCTCCCTGCATGGCTGGATATGCTGCAAAGGCTTCAGGGGATGAAATGAGATATTGCAGCTGGAAATAATTTTTCCCTGTTTGTGTGTTTAATGAATTGTGACTTTGAAATGAAAAGTAAATCTGCTCAACTAAAACAAATCCAACCAAATTCAGATAAAAATTTACTTAGGCTTGCATTAAGTATCTAAATGGCCACAAAGGCTGCATTAGAGAGATTTCATCAGCTCTCATGTCTGTGGCCAGAAGCTGGATGTCTTAGCCTGAGTTACTAATGCCAGCTTGCCTTTGTAACAAATGGAGCAGAGGAAAGAACTCTAGAGACCTATGTGAAGTTCTCAGCTACTTAGTCTATGGCTAGTCAAACAAATCACATCCTGGAGTTTTCTCAGGTAGACGTGTCAAACTTTGAAGTGTATAAACTCGGGCAAGATGAATTCTGACAGGCAAAAATGCATGGCAACAAATAGGGCTTGCCTTGAAGAATTTATCATTTATCTGGGAAAGGCAGGCAAAAGAGCAGCAGAGAGGTGGCAGGAATCAGCCAAAGCAACCCAGTCCCTTGGTCATTCGATGGGAATACACCCTTGCTGTCCCGGGACAAAATTCTTCACCATATATCTTGGATCTATTTTAATCTAGTGTATATTAGTAATTTTGTCATGCTCCTCTGAACTTCCTGGTTAAGTCAGAGTCTTAAGCAACAGCTGAAAGCCTGAGGGTGGGGTGGGGAAGCAGGGAAGGAAGGGTGAGAGACTTCTCCCACTTTACAGCCTAATCTGAAAAAGGAAGTGCTGAAAGTTTTGCAAGATAATCAGACCCTCAAAAAAAGTCCAGCCTGTTTTACAGCCAGTTTCAGAGCCCGTTTAATGGATGCAGTGAGCCAAACACAGTTCCATTGCAAAACAGTTCAGCAATGGACTTTATGCAGCTGATCTCACTTGTTCTGATTTTAAAATGGCTAAATAAAATTTAGAAACTTTATTTTTACTGATTAATATATTAATTGATGATGACAATGCTATAAGTGGAAATTCACAATTTTTAGCGTATGTGTTATGGGTTGGAAATATGGAAATAAATACCTTTCGGATCACTTTTCAGTTTTTCTTTTCTAAATTTCTATTGGCTAAATGTAATAAATACGCTTGATAAGCATGAAATACTTGTCTAGTTTTGGGGTATTTTTTCAGAAGTGTGATTGCTTTAGCAGCATCATAGATGTTATGTGAATGTAAACACAAGGTGTCAGTGGACTATGATGACAGTCTTCAACATTAGATGTGTCTCATGCTGGGAAAAAAAGAAGGAAAGCAGAAAAAAAACAAAATAGTTTCAAAATCAGGCAATTCACTAACCAACTGAAACATGGCTGAGATGTGGCAGACTCAAAAGATGAGAATTAGGAATTATTTGTAGAATGAAATGAAAGAAGCTGATAAAATTTAGAAACATCACTATTCCAGATACTTACTTAAACGAAATTTAACCTGTGAATCAAGTAGATTTCCCCTCTCTGTTCTAATGTGAGTGTTCTAATGAAAACCATGAATGTTCTTTTTCATCTTAGCTTTCTCTACTCTTCAGTCTCTGGGCCTGACATCTATTTAAAAAAAAGTCTAAAAATAGGGCTGTGAAATATAATGACTTTGAGCAATAATGGCATGACTCAGACTACTTTTTCTTAGAATCCACTGTCAACTCAGACTAAGGGTGGCCTCTGTTCAGTTTTAATTGCTAATATTAGGCTATTTGTCTTGCAGAACTTTGGTAAAGACAGCTCAAATTTTTTTTTTGTATAAATTATGATACATTATAAACTTTAATTAAAGAGATCCAGATACTTAGCTACTTTATCTCAGGATTTAATGAAATGAGTTATAGCAAGTCATGATCACAGCCACTGTGACCAGCATACAAAGATAAGGATCATTGTTTACCTTACTCATGTGAGAGAACTCCAAAACCACATAATTGACTGCATCTGTAGCTTATTAGCATTAATATATATAATGATGGTAAAACAAAGCCTTAGCATTGCGGCATAGGAAATTTTCAAGTTCTGGTTTCATAAATGTTGCAGGATCTTTAGGGTAGCGTAGTTCCTGCTGCTGGCATTTGGGTGCTTGAGACCCCATTCAAAGAGGGGTGCCCTGAAGTAGGTGGTGATAGCTGTGAGGCTGGCCACAGCAAGAGATGCTGTTTTAGTCTGTTTATTTAGGGAGCCACAGGCAACTGGGACTAGCTTTGCCACGTGTGCCAAATGCCCCTGTGGTGTTTTCTGCTCTCTCTCAGAGTGGATGGTGGTGGGGCTGCTGCTCAGAGCCCATGATCTGTTCAGCACCTGGAAAGTAAGTTACTCTTTCTTAAAAGAATCCCTGAGAAAAAAACAGAACCTAAATACTGGCTCTTCCAGTATTTTTATCCAGTATCTTTAC